TTGTTTGTTTGTTTGTTTTGTGTTGTTTAACTTGAAAAGCTTGTTGGAATTTTGGATGTACTCTTCAGTCTTCTACGAACCAGCCCAACTAGAGGTCAGCTTTTCTCACTGATGTTTGAACCAGGAAATGCTGATATACTGTATGCTTTGCTACTAAATCAGAAGTACTCTGACAAACTAAGAGAAATCATTTTTAAGGTACACAAATTTTGTAGGCATCTTTATATCTTGGGTACATTTGTAAGTATATGAGTTTACTGTATAACTAGATTACTTTTGCATACTTCTTAAGTTTAGTTATATATTTTTCATGTTGTTTGTGTATTTTAAAAACTATACTATAGTTTAAAAACTTAACTATAGTTAAGTAGTATAGTACTGGCTTAGTATGTGCTAGGTTTATGTCCCTCCCCCAAATCTTACTAGTACAACTAAAAAAAGGGGGGGGAACCTAAACAAACAAAAACATCAAAATAGCAAGCAAAAATTAATATAACCAGGCAAATTATCTCAGTGGAATATCTGCTTGGTCATATTTTTCTTAATATAAAACCTGTGAGTTCTTCCTTGACGTAAAGTACATCGGTGTAGTACATCAGGTCATTTTAGCAGTTAATAATAGCAGCACTTCTATAATGCTCACTATATTTCAATCATTTTGTACTCTTCGGGGAGTAGTTTTCTTAGTCCTTACCACTGTTTTAGAAGATAAATACTTTTCTTACTCCTGTATTACAGGTGATAAATTGAAGCTGATAGACTAATGACTTTGTTAAAACACATGGAGTATATTTTATTTGCTATCCAAACTGTAAAGACTCTGAACCCTTATCTGAAGTCACTGTTTTTAAATTTTTGTTAACTAAAAATATAAGATCCAGGCATATATCTACCAGCTTTTTTCTTAGTTAAATTCTCCTTGTCCTTAATTGTCTGATGTTTTTTGTTTTTACATTATTTTTAGAGTTACGTTATTAAATATGCTTTTAAGGGTTTATGTTTTGATTGCTTGTGTTTCAAATCACTAAGCTTTAGAATACAATGATGAAGAAAAGGTCTAAAGTAGTTTGTTTGTTAGGGTTGCCTATGGTTGGTTACCAGTGAGGCTGCTCTTGGAAGCATCTGCTCTCACTAGGGTTTATTCATAGAGAGGAAATATTATTTCTTATAAAAATTTTTTTAGTGATTGTATATGATATTCTGACACAATTATCCTTTTATAGTTTATAAGAAAATAACCTTTTGCATAACATTACTTTTACCCCTGGAATGTTCAGTTTTTATCCAGTTTTTACTCCCATTTTTAGATGTACATTATTTGGGTTGCTTCCCTAAAATTTGGGTTTTCTGTTCTTGAAATTGGGTCTGTTATGTAAATGAGTTAAGACCATTTTAGGCTGGGTGTGATAGCACATACCTTCAGTCCTAGCAGTGGAAGACAGGATAGCCTAGTCTCTATGTTGTGAGTTCCAGGCTAGCTGGTGCTATATCGAGAGACCTTATCTAAAATACAAAACAAAAAATGAATGATAATGATAATAGTAATATCTTGACACATAGATCTTTTCTTCATGTCTGCTAACTATATATACTACTCTTTCATTGGCCGTATTTAAACTAGAGTTTTAAATGTTATTTACACAAATATAGATACAGTTTCAGTAAAATTTATTAACGATCCAAAACCCAATGTTTCTCTGTATTGAAAAGATTGTATTACTTTTTGTGACCAGGTTATAGAACAGATGTTAAAATGCACCAGTGTTTATGAACGTAGTAAACAACGCATCCGTCTTAGAGAAGTTGGCTATTCAGGAATTGGACTCCTCCTTAATGAAGTTCCAGTTAATATGTCTCTCATTAAAAACCTTGTCAATCAAATCATTAATACAGGTATGACTAAGATTTGTAACAGTGATGTGTTTAAGAAATTGGTTTTTCTCTGTGAAAGTTTTCTTAAAAATTTCTTTCAGGTTAGTTTTTAAATTACTTGTTATTTGATTTTGCAGGGTGTTTCTTAGAAAATATATACCTGTTACTTGCTTCTTACTTCCAGGACATAGCTTTAAAGTAAATGTTTACTAACTGAGTAGCCAAGTTAATGATTGGTTTCCTAAATAGAAAAAGAGCATTAAAGAAAATATATATAAAAAGAGCTTAAAAGTTTAAAGGTATTTATGTTCTGAGAGGTAAAATGAAAACAAATTTAATACATATTTTCTTTCTAATGTTTTGTAATATTTTTTTCTGTACTTAGTCACAAAGTAGAATTTATGGCAGATGTTCGACTTGGGTCTGGAAATGAGGCTCTTTATCTTCAGTGGTTTGCTAAGTAGTTTATCAAGTCTCATTGGTAACCCATTTATATAAAAGATATTAGTACTGTATCCCTGAGGTATAGACCATATACTCAGGCAATCAAAGAAAGAGAAGTTATGTAGGCTTGATTTGAATATTATCAACCTGAAGTTTTGGGGGAATATTTGAACATACCTATAGTTCTCCTTGGAAAGTGAATAATTACTTCAGCATTCATACAAGTAATACTGTTCTTTCTTTGGATATCCATGAAATTTAATTTTAACTTTTCTTTAATCATAGATCCTGTTATCAATTTCAAAGATCTGTTATCTGTAGTATATATCTCTCACAGAACACACGTAAATGTCAGAATGGTCCTCTGTAGAAAGGTTAGTAAATTTTCAAGAAGTATTTTTACAATAAGATCATCTTACTGTGACTGTTTTTCTTTGAGTAGTTTGTAGCAGATACAAGTTCTATGTTTGCTTATTTCATAATAGAAATTATTATAAGCAGCTTAAACTAGACATGGTGATGTATAACTTTAATCACACCTCATGGGAGGCTCAGGCAAAAGGATCATAAGCCAGCCTATGTAATCCAAGATTGTCTTAAATTAAATAAATACACACTCACATAAATAAATAATAAATTGTTCCTTTTAGAAAAGAATCAACTTCATGTAATTATAATAAGTCAGTATGTCATTTTTTGTTTAGTTTTTTGAAGCAGAGTTTCTCTGTATAGCCCTGGCTATTCTGAAACTCAGACTCTGTAGACCAGGTTGGCCTCTAACTAACAGAGATCCTCCTTGTCTCTATCTCCTGGAGTGCTGGGATTAAAGGCATGCACCACCACTACCCAGTTCCAGTATGTCAAGAGTTAGCTTTACTTCCCCTTCTGTAAATAATTCCTTTTCATTATTTATCACCAGAAACACCACCCTTTCCCAGAGCCTCAGTGCGTGTACACTTTTTTCCTCCTCCCTGCCCATTTCCCCTTTTCCTCCCCTGATCTTCTTTCCCCATCCTTCTCCCTTTCTTTGTGGTAAACACTACACTCCATGTTCCTTTTAAATTTTTTTACTTTGAAGAAACAATCTTAAGTTTCTCAAACTTACCTTAAAGTTTTGATCTTCTGCTTCAGTTTCCCAAGTGGCTGGTGATGCAAACATTTACCACTTCATCTGGGTCTGGTCCTGGTCATTTCTAACGGATTCACCATATTTCAAAGGGTCTAACTATCTAAATGTATTTTAAAATTTTTATTACATTTTATTTATTTCGTGTGTGGGGGGTGTACATTCAAGTGTGAGTATGCCCATGCTTCAGTGAGAAAGTGGAACTAAGAAGACCACTTGGGGAGTTGGTTCTTCTGCTTTGTGGATGGATCCCAGGGATCAAACCCAAGTCTTCAGGCTGGGCATCAAGTGCCTTTTTTCAACCAAGCCATCTTTCTGGAACCCTTATGTCTAAATTTTTGACATTATGACATGACATTGTTTTCTAAACATGTGTTGAGCTTCATTCATAGCTATCCTCATATGCAGGAGCTCATGATCTCATGTTGGATATACCTTTAAAATTTTCTTTGTCTTTTCAACTTTATGGAAATAATTTCCTAATATTTGTTTATAAAAGTTCCTATAATTTATCTTCAATTTACATGTAACCTTTGGAAGACTTGCTTTGGCTTTGTGCTTCGTTTTGATTATGACATTTTGTCTCCTGTACTGGTAACCCTTACCACATGACCCACTAAGCCATCTCAACATATTTGGTTGTATAGCTTTTATTCTGTGTTTAATCTTTTGAATATTAGTGGTTTCATATTGATAGACAATTTTCTTCTTTTTCCATGTTTTTATTAACATCTTTTTGTTATTAGTACCTATTACTATTAATGTGAATAAAAACGATGCAAGAAAACGCAAATATGTAAATATTTCCTATTACATAATATAGTCAAATGTAACCCAACCATTACGAGACCAGTTAATGATTTTAAAAAGTATCAGAGGCATCTCTATCAACTAATTAAAAGTTAAATGCTAAAATTAAAATTTTCATGCGTATTTTTTATTGGTTTTTATTGAGAGCTATATTTTTCTTTGCTCCCCTCCCTGCCTCTTTCCTCCCCTTGAGCCCACCCCCAAAGTCCCCATGCTTTCAATTTACTCAGGAGATCTTGTCTTTTTCTACTTTCTACTTCCCATGTAGATTAGATCTATGTATGCCTCTCTTAATGTCCTCATTGTTGTCTAAGTTCTCTGGGATTGTGGTTTATAGGCTGGCTTTCTTTGCTTTATATTTAAAAACCGCCTATGAGTGAGTACATGTGATAATTGTCTTTCAGTGTCTGGGTTACCTCACTCAAAATAATGTTTTCTAGCTCCATCTATTTTCCTGCAAAATTCAAGATATTCTTTTTTCTACTGTGTAATACTCCATTCTTTGGTTGAGGGCATTTCGGTTGTTTTCAGGTTCTGGCTATGACAAACAATGCTGCTATGAACATAGTTGAGCACATGTCCTTGTGGCACAATTGGGCATCCTTTGGATATATACTCAAAAGTGGTATTACTGGGTCTTGCGGAAGGTTATTTCCTAATTTTCTGAGAAATTGCCATACTGACTTCCAAAGGGGTTGTACCAGCTTGCATTACCACCAGCAATATTGAACTGTTCCTTTTACACCACAACATCCCCAGCATAAGTTGGCATCGCAACCTCTACAACTCATAAACACTTTCAGTAATGTAGCAGGATACAAGATTAACTCAAAAATATTAATAGCCCTCGTGTATACAGATGTTAAAAATGCTGGGAAAGAAATCATAGAATCACCCTTCACAATAGCCACAATAGCTTATAATATCTCATAGTAACTCTAACCAAACAAATGGAAGACCTATATGACAAGAACTTTACATCTTTGAAGAAAGAAATTGAAGAAGACACCAGATAGTGGAAAAATCTCCCATGCTCTTGAGGAAGTAGAATTAACATAGTAAAAAATGATAATCTTAGCATAAGCAATCAACAGATTCAATGCAATGCCCATCAAAATCCCAGGAAAGTAGAAAAAGACAAGATCTCTTGAGTGAATTGGGAGCATGGGGACCATGGGAGAGAGTAGAAGAGGAGGGGAGAGGAAGGGAAGGGAATAGAGAAAAATGTAAAGCTCAATAAAATAACTAAAAGAATATTGTCTTGTGTGCCCTAGCTCTGCTATCTAAGCTCGTTGCTGATACATGTCAGTTACTCAATAATCCTTGCTTCAAAAATATAATAAGCTCATGAAAACTGATATGATTGACATAATGATCATTTTATTAAATTTTATATATACTTTTAGCTTATTAATACTTTATTTCAACAAATTAATTTCACGTAGTTTCTGTGTTCTTTAGCACATCTTTACTCTGCAGAAGTAATATTAGATTTATTAATACTATAATATCAACGAGCTTCGAATATTTTATAATCTATTAAGAACATAATCCTGGGCTGACAAGATAAATCAGTCAATAACAGTAATTTCACAAGCATAAAGAAGGAGTCCTCATCCCCCTTGTAAAAAGCTGTATGTGTTCTTGTGTGTTGTCTGCAACCCCAGCATTTTAGGAGCTAGAGGCATAAGGTAGCTGAGTCTTGCTGGCCATTGCCCTAGCCCAGGTTCAGTGAGAAACCTTCCTACAAGGGAATGAGGTAGGAAGTGATAGAATAAAGCATTCAGAATCCTTTTCTGTACTCTATGAGTAAGCATATGTATCTGTACATGCACACATATTCATATATGCCACACACAGAGAACTTAATTTGAAAGTGTATTCTTTTATTGTTTCTCAGTAAATTACTCTGTTATTAAAATAATTGAAAAGAGATCTTTTCATAAAAATATTGTATACCTTTTGAAGAACTTTGTATTTTTTTGTAATTTCTGTTTTGTGTTCTCTTTGCAGATATTACAGATTTTGCAGTCCCAGCCAGATGCAGCATACCAGATAGCACAACAAGTGGGTTGGCAAGATACCTTTGTTAGACTTCTCTTAAAAGCAAACTTTGAAAATGCAAATTCTCTTCATAAACAAGGAAAGGCTGTTTCAGTGAAAGAAAATAAAAATATGTCAACTGAAAAGCTAGATGATGAAAAGATGACATTACCTGTTGTATCTTCAGATCATTGGAGTTTGGAAGATAGTCAGTCCCTGAACTCAAACACACCATTAGTTCAAGAAGTAAACTCTGAAGTAGAATTATCTTTCAAGTCAGAAAATGAAGAAGAATTCTGGCATAGTAACACTTCCCATCTAAGTTTAGATCTCAGTGGAACTGACTCATGTGAACTGAGTGAGTGTGGAAGTCAAATGCCAGATAGTTCACCTAGCACACCATCCCCAGTGGAGTCTACTAAGTCGTTTTCTATGCCGTCTGACAGAGAAAGGAGTATCACAAATGAAATGGACTTTAGTGATGACTTCACTTTCCTTGAAAGTCAAGAGGTAAATTTGCTTATCATTCCAAAATCAGTTTTAATTCTCATTATATCTGGTCCTTTGCAATATGTGAGCCATTAACTAATATTTCCATTCATAGTCTAAGTCTCATCTAAAACTTAGAAGGGTCATTGTCACAAGTCACTTGTAAATATCTTCCTTTTTTGTTTTGTTTTGATGTGCCCGTATTTGTTATTTGTATGTATATGTATGGTAATAGGACTTGAGCATACCAACACGCACATGTTACATTTTGCTCTGTGTTTATGAATACTTTGCTTGTGTGTTTATGTGTACATGTACCATATTTGTGCCTGGTGCCTGTTGAGGTCAAAAAGGACTTTTAGTTGCCTTTAATCCCAGCACTCGGGGAGGCTGAGGCAGGTGAATCTCTGTAAGTTCAAGACCAGCCTGTTGTATAAGAGCTGTTTGTTGGAGGAGGGGCTGCTTGTTCGTCTCGGCTGCCTGGCTAGCTTAGATATAAAGCTGCACTTTCCTGGACTGTTTAACTGGACTTGAAGGACCTGTAGAGAAATGACTGCTGAACTTGCCTAAAGGAGAAATGATCCTTTGGGGGTTCCTGCTTCATGAAAGTGTCTGCAAGACATTCTGCAGGATATAGAAAATAATCAAACAGGAACTATATTATTTAAATCACTGCTTGGGCCATTAGCTCTCACTTCTTATTTTATAAGAATAACTCTTGTATTTTAATTAAACCCATCTTCATTATCACCACATTGCAGTGGCTTACCAGCAAAGTTTCAGCAAGTCTGACTCTGGTGGCTCCATGGCGTCTCTCTGACTCCGTCCTTCTTTCTCCCAGCATTCAGTCCAGTCCCCCCTGCCTACCTAAGTTCTGCCATATCAGTAGGCCAAGGCAGTTTCTTTATTCATTAATGGTAATCACAGCACACAGAGAGGAATCCCTCATCACCTCCCTTTTCTGTTTAAATAAAAAGGAAGGTTTTGACTTTAACGTAGTAAAATTATGTATAACGAAATAGTTATCAAGCAAGAATTACAGTAAATATTTATATCTATTTTATCTTTTATCATAACTAAGGAAGACTATAAGTATAAATTCGTCAACTCTATCAAACACTCCAGGAGGATAAAATACTACCTAAGTAAATAGGAAGTACATTGTAATCAACTTCCAAAACTCTAGAATTGACAGAGATATCTTGCTGCTTAAACAGCCACCCAAAGTTCTGTACTGTTGGGGCATCCATCTTCAGCCTACAGGCCCATAGTATCCAGCAGACTTTTCCATGAAGCAGGAAATTTGAAAGACAGTTCAATTACTTCTATATCCTGCAGAATGTCTTAGAGACACTTTCATGAAGCAGAGTATCATCTAACCTTTAGGCAAGTTCAGCAGTCATTTCTCTGCGGGTCCTTCATGTCCAGTTAAACAGTCCAGAAAAGAGCAGTTTCTTGCCCAAATGGCTAACTAACTCTATAAGGAGCCTCTTCAATGCCCACCTTCTTAAAGTAGCTTGTGCTTCTAGGAGCAGATGTGTCTCATTGTCATGATAACTCTGAAGTTTTAAAATATTTTAAATGCCATATTCTGAAATCTCTGAAAGATTTGAAGAATGCCTATCTAAGTGAAATACATCTCTGTACATGTAGAAAATCTAACTAACATGACTACAAGCTTGATTATTATAGATGACTTTACCTATATTGCTGAATTATATATTACATTTTAAAATGAACTGCACACTCACAATACCTTAATGAAGATCATAAATATACATAACAAAATTGACCTTAAATTTGTTCCAATTAACCAAGATACATACCAATGCAAATTATTCATACCTATAGCATATCCCCCTTTAAATGCAAAGAAACTATTATAAACAATATTTAGGAATATGGGTGTAGATCTGTTCATACTGCTTCCTGCATTTTGGGGGTGCTGTTAATCAGGTCTTTCATGGTGTATCCTGTGTGCTGGGTTTATCTCAGTCAGCAGGTGGGTGAAGTAATTTTTTGAGGGTGTTCACGGCAACCTTTCAGTGGGTCGTGCTCTATCAAACCACACCAGTCTGGAAGCAGTGCACAGGTTCTCATCCTCTGTGGAAACAAGAGAAGAAACTCTTTTTCAAAGCAACATATCCTAGACCCAAATTTGGAGCCATGATACCCTTTTAATATACATGCTGATTTAGCTTAGCAGCCCATACAGCAAAATGTTTCTCTATACCTAACTCATTCACAGTCAAAAAAATTCAAAGTTAACATAATAATATACATACATAATCCAGACTCTCTGTGAATTTTCCATTTTGACGTGGCTTGTTTTTCTTTACTCCTTTTAATCTATGACTGTCTGTACTGTCTCTTTAAAGACTTTTTTTTAAAAAACAATTTACTTCTTTTCCAACTCTCTGTACTCTTTTTCTTCTCTCTCCCAAGCCTCCATACATTTATCCATCACTATGACTCATCTGGATTTGTGTTTATTGCATAGCTGTAATTCTTTACTGTCCAGGAGCACTTTTTAAAATGCTAAGCGCTTCTTAAAACTTAAGGTGCGCCAGTACTAAGGTTTATACAGTACTAACTGCTTGCCCACCCAGTCTAAAACTTAAGCTGTGCCATTACTAAGATATATATGGTGTGCCTGCTTGCTCTGCACAGTCCAGCATGGTGAGCTGCTTGCCACTCTGAGAGCCATGGACACTGCTCCATTCTCAGGCACACAGCCAATCAATGTCGCCATTAAGCAAGCTGCAGCAATCTGCACACAAACCCCATCCAAATACTTGGTCTCCTGAAAGAGCCAGAAGTTGTGCTGGCAGCTCGTCCCAGAAAGCCTGCATTTCAAAATGGTGCGGCTTTTTTCCTCTGCTGCTACTGCTGAGCGAGGAAAACTTTTCTTAATGGAGTTACTCCATGCTGCCAGCAAGCAGAAAGAAGCTGTGTTAAGCTCTGTATTTTTGTGTCTAGAATTCCTTTTCAAACTCTCTTAGGTTTTATAAGTGGATTTAGCTGTCCATGTGGGCACCAGTCTGTTGGAGGAGGAACCACTTGTTCGTCTCAGCCACCCAGCTAGCTTAGACACGATATAATCAAACAGAAACTGTATTATTTAAATTACTGCTTGGCCCATTAGCTCTAGCTTTTTATTGGCTAACTCTTATATTTTAATTTAACCCATCTCCATTTATCTGTGTATTGCCGTGTAGCAGTGGCTTACCAGCAAAGTTTGTTTTAGCCTGTCTGATTCTGGTGGCTCCGTGGCATCTCTCTGACTCTGCCCTTTTTTCTTCCAGCATTCAGTCCAGTCCACCCCACCTACCTAAATTCTGCCCTATCTAAAGGCCAAGGCAGTTTCTTTATTCATTGATGGTATCACAGCAACACAGAGGGACTCCCACATCAGCTATTTCAAGGACAGCCAGGGCTGTTACACACAGAACCCCTGTCCTGAACCCCCCCCCACACACACACAAAGGGATTGAATGTCCTGGAATTCAAGTTATGAATGGTTGTAAGCCACCATTTGGGTGCCTGAATTGAACCACTTTGACCCGTAACTACTTAGCCATCTTTCTAGCTCCCCATCCCTCTCTTTAGAACAAAGCCTGCATCTGACACATTTTGTGTCTTCAGGCAATAAAGGCATGTTAAAAGGGGACAGGAAAGGGACCTCAGGAGTTAAGAGTACTTGATGTGCTTCCAGAAGACCTGAGTTCCATTCCCAGAACTCTCATCAGAAAGCTCACAACTGTACGTAACTCTAGCTCCAGGGATCTGATAGCTTTGGTTTCCTGAGGCACTTGCACTTATGTGCCCATTCACACATTCAGAAACATATCTACACATAATTAAAAATAATTTAAAAAATAACATGTAAATAATAAGTATATATAGATGGATCTGTGTTATGCTTTTTAATATTTCCTAACTAATAATTTAATATTACTTAATATTTTATAGGAATGTGAAGAGGAGCTTCTTCAGTTGGTTACAAATATTTTGAATTATATAATGTGTAAAGGACTAGAAAAGTCTGATGAAGACACTTGGATTGAAAGAGGACAAGTGTTTTCAGCATTAACTAAACCAGGAATATCAAGTGAACTACTTCGACCATCGGATGAAATAAAACTAACGTAAGTATTCAGTCATTGATTTTTGTGAACCCCTGCCTAGAACGGAGTGAGAGACTAAAATTAAATACTGATTCCTTAATTCAGTATATAATAGAGGTAGAGAGAAGAAAGAAGCTATTTAATATTTTTCTTCCTTGGTTTTACTGTTGTAGTAGAGTGTAGAAAAAAGTACAAATTCCAGTTTCAGAAGATTTAAATATATTTAAAGTTAAGTGCTTTCAAGAGTGATACATATGGGTCATATGGTGGTTTTATATATAGTAACCATATTGATTTCCATATTTGCAGTAGAAATTTACTTATCAGCAATGTAGGCAGGTTCCTCTTTTCCTACATCCTCACCAACATTTCTTGTCATTTGTTCTCTTGATATTCATTCTGAGTCTCGGGTGAGAAGGAACCTGAAAGAAGTCTTACTTTGTGTTTTCCTGAATTTTTTATTTTTCATTGATTTTATTGAGGTTTACATTTTTGTCAGCTCCCTTCCCTTCACTTCATCTCCCCTCCAACCCTCTCCCATGGTTCCCATGCTCCCAGTTCACACAGGAAATCTTGTATTTTTCTACTTCCCATGTAGATTGGATCCAAGTATGCCTGTCTTAGGGTTCTCATTGTTGTCTGGGTTCTCTGGGATTGTTAATTATAGGCTGGTTTTCTTTGGTTTATGTCTAAAAGTCACTTATGAGTAAGTACATATGATATTTGTCTTTCTGGGTCTGGGTTACCTCACTCAATGTGGTATTTTCTAGATCCATCCATTTGCCTACAAATTTCAAGATGTGATTTTTTTTCTGTGCTGTGTAGTACTCCATTGTGTAAATGTACCACATATTCCTTATCCATTCTTCAGTCGAGGGGCATTTAGGTTGTTTCCAGGTTCTGGCTATGACAAGCAATACCACTAAAAACATAGTTGAGGACATGTCCTTGTGGCATGATTGAGCATCCTTTGGGTATATACCCAAAAGTGGTATTACTTGGTCTTGAAGAAGGTTGTTTCCTAATTTTCTGAGAAATCACAACACTGATATCCAGAGGGGCTGTACCAATTTGCACTCCCACCAGCAATGGAGGAGTATTCCCTTGACCCAATATTCTCTGCAACAGAAGTTGTTGTGTTTTTTATCTTGGCCATTCTTACAGGTGTTAAGATACAATCTCAATGTCGTTTTGATTTGCATTTCTCTGATGGCTAAGGATATTGAGCACTTCCTTAAGTGTCTTTCAGCCATTTTAGATTCCTCTGTTGTGAGTTCTTTGTTTAGCTCTATACTCCAAATTTTTTATTGGATTATTTGTTCTTTTTATGACAAATCTTTTGAGTTCTCTGTGTATTTTGGAGATCAGACCTCTGTCTTATGTGGGGTTAGTGAAGATCTTTTCCTATTCTGTAGGCTGCCGTTTTGACTTGGTGACTGTGTCCTTTGCTTTTCAGTTTTAGGAAGTCCCATTTATTAATCGTTGCTCTCAGGGTCTATGATAATGGGATTATATTTAGGAAGTGATCTTCTGTGCCAATACGTTCAAGTGTACTCCCACTGTTTCTTCTTTGAGTTTCAGTGTGGCTGGCTTTATGTTGAGGTCTTTAATCCATTTGGACTTGAGTTTTATGCATGATGATAGATAGGGATTTATTTTCATTCTTCTACATGTTGATATCCAGTTATGCCAGCACTATTTGTTAAATATGCTTTCTTTTTTTTCATTTTATATTTTTTGCTACTTTGTCAAAAATCAGGTTTTCATACATGTATGGATATCTGGGTCTTTGATTCGGTTCCATTGGTCTTCCTGTCTATTTTTATGCCAATACCAGGCTGTTTTTAGTACTGTAGCTCTGTAGTAGAGTTTGAAGTCAGGGATTGTGATGTCTCTAGTAGTTCCTTTTTGTGCAGGACTGTTTTGGCTATCCTGAGGGTTTTTTTTCTTTTCTTTTCCATATGAAGTTGAGTACCATTCTTTTGAGGTCTGTGGAGAATTTTCCTGTAATTTTGATGGGCATTGCATTGAATCTGTAGATTGCTTATGGTAAGATTGCCATTTTTACTATGTTACTTCTGCCCACTCAAGAGCATGGGAGATCTTTCCACCATCTGGTGTCTTCTTCAATTTCTTTCTTCAAAGATTTAAAGTCCTTGTCATACAGGTCTTCCACTTGTTTGGTTAGAGTTACTCTGAGATATTTTAAGCTGTTATGGCTATTGTGAAGGGTGATGTTTTTCTGACTTTGGCAGAATGTTGGAGGTCGCTTATGTAAACTATCACATCATCAGCAAAACGTGAGATTTTGACTTCTTCTTTTCTGATTTGTATCCCCTTTATCTTCTTTTGTTGTCTTATTGCTCTAGCTAGGACCTTAAAAATTGAATTGAATAGATACAGAGAGAGTGAGCAACCCTGTCTTGTTACTGATTTCAGTGGGAGTACTGTGAGATTCTCTCCATTTAGTTTGATACTGGCTGTTGGCTTGCTGTATATTGTCTTTATTATGTTTAGGTATGTTCCTTGAATCCCTGTCTTTCCAAGACCTTTATCATGAAGAGATACTGTATTTTGTCGAAGGCTTTTTCAGCATCAAATGAGATGGTCATGTGGCTTTTATTTTTCAGTTTGTTTATATTTTGAACTATCCCTGCATCTCTGGGATGAAGCCAACTTGATCATGGTGGATTCTTTTTCTATTGTATTTTTGGATTTATTTTGCCAGTATTTTATTTAGCATTTATATTCATGTTCATGAGTGAGATTGGTCTGTTATTTTTTTTCTTAGTAATGTCTTTATGTGGTTTGGGTATCAATGTAATTGAAGCCTCATAAAAAGAGTTTGGCAGTGTTCCTTTTGTTTCTATTGGGTAGAACAATTTGTGGAGTACTGATATTCATTTTTCTTTGAAGATCTGTTTTCATATCTAATCTGTTTGCCTGTGTCTTTTTATAGGTGAGTTGAGTCCATTTATATTAAGGGATATTAGTGGCCAGTGATTGCTATCTCCTGTTATTTTAGTTTTCCTTGTTGGTGATGTTATTTTGTGTGTTTTCCCCTTCTTTGGGATTTGCTACTGTGAGATCATCTATTGTATGTTTTTGTGGATGTAGCCAACTTCCTTGGCTTGGAGTTTTCCTTCTAGTATTTTGTATAGGGCTGAGGTTGTAGCTTAGTTAAATCTGTTTTTGTCATGGAATATCTTGTTTTGTTTTTCTATGGTGATTGAAAGTTTTGCTGGGTATAGTAGTCTGGGCTTGCATCCATGGTCTCTTAATGTCTACATAACACTTGACCATGACCTTCTGGCTTTAACTGTCTCCAATGAAAAGTCAGTTGTAATTCTGATAGGTCTGCTTTTATGTTACTTGACCTTTTTCCTTTGCAGCTCTTAATATTCTTTCTTTATTCTGCATGTTTAGTGTTCTGATTAGTATGTGGTGAGGGGAGTTTTTTTTGATTCAGTCTATTTGGTGTTCTGTAAACTTCTTTTATCTTCATATGTATATCAGTCTCTAGGTTGAGAATGTTTTTGTCTATGATTTTGTTAAACATATTTTCTGTCCTTTTAAGTTGGACTTCTTCTATACCTATTATTCTTAGGTTTGGTGTTTTCATGGTGTCCCATATTTCCTGGATTTTTTGTGTTTTTGTGCTTTTGTTAGATTTACTGGTTTTTTTTTAACCGATGAGTCTATTTTCTCTATTATTTTGAACACTTGAAATTCTCTCCTCCATCTCTTATATTCTGCTGTTTATGCTTGCATTTGTGGTTCCTGATTGTTTTCTCATGATTTCTATTTCTATAATTCCCTCAGCTTGTGTTTCCTTTATTGTCTCTATTTCCGTTTTCAAGTCTTAAATAGTTTCTTTTATATGTTTGATTTCTTTTTCTTGATTTTCTTTAAGGAATTTGTTGATGCCTTCCAATTTTTTTGTTTAATTTTTTTTATTTTTTTTCCTTAAGGGCCTCAAGTATTCTAAAGTTATTTTTTAGATGATTTTCTTCTCCTTCATCTATATCTGGGTGTTCAAGTCTTGTTGGGCCACTAGTTTTTTATTGGTGTCGTGTTGCTCTTGGTGGTGTTCAGTGTGTTATTTCCTTGTCTACCCATCTTTTCCTCTGACTGGTGTATTTGGAGCTGTCTGTGTCTCTAGTGATCAATCTTCCAGGTGCCAGTGGATCCAAGGCTCACATGGTTGCTCCTGATGGTGTAGTCAGGGCAATGGTTCAGTCACTTCGCTGGTCACTCTATGTTCCTGGGTGTCACTCTGCAATAACAGAGGTCATTTGGGCTTTGCTTGCGTGGGGATGTTTCTGCTGAGATTGCTGTCTTTGGCCTGCTCTAGCAGAGTTCCTGGCTTAGGTCAGATACCTTAGAAGTTGTTGATTTATGCCCAGTGTGATAAAGGTCTCTGGTTCTGGCAGCTGTCTCACTGGATGCTCGCTTATACCTGCTCCTGTGGAGGTCGCTGCCTTGGTCCTGCTCCTGCTGAGGTAGCTGGCTCACATCTGTTCCCACAGATTCCCCTAGCTTGGGCCCACTCCCACAGAGGTCTCTGGCTCAGGCCTACTCTCTCAGCGAAGAGCACATATGTTGGGTTTTTTTTTCTGTATTTTCCTGATGTTTACAGATGTAAAATTTTCAGTATTTACTGATTGTATTTTTTTGAGAACTATCAGTTCATTAAATAATTTCTTTGGATTGGTTTTTGGAGGAAGGGGTTTAATTTTATAGTTCTTTATATACTTGAAATTCTAATCCTATATGATTTCTAGTTGTCAAGGATTTTTTTATTTACATAGGCTGTCTCACTTGGTGATAGTTTCTTTTGCTTTTCAAAACCTTTTTAATGTCATGTTCTTCCGTTTGTCAATTCCTGACATTATTTCTTATGCTTTCTGGAGTCTCTGTAGGATGCTCTTACCTATATCTTGTATATTCCTGCAAGATTTTTCAAACTATCAGATCTTTAAGGTTATTGACCCCTTTTGACTTGATTTTTATGCAGCATGAGAGCTGTGAATATATTTCATTTCATTCTTCAACATGCGAAAATATAGTTTTTACAGCTCTATTTGTAAAAATACTCTCCATAATAGGTTTTATTTTTTGTCAAAAATAATGTGACTTCTGACTTCTATTTACCTTTATTTTCTTTTCCTGTATTCTGTTGTTATACAAATCTGTTTTTGTGGTCATAACATGGTATTTGAGTCTATCACTCTGAAATATATGTGAGATCTGGTATGATTCTTGCCATGTTAGTCTTTGTGTTTTGGCTGTTTGAGGTCTTTTTTGCTTTTATGTGAATTTTAGAAATCTTTTTCTAGCTATATGAAGGTTGTCATAAGATTTGATGGGGATGGCATTGCCATTGTCCCAGTATTAATTGTTCTAATTCATGAGTATGAGCGGTATAATGGTAAAATTAAAAAATGCTGCAGGATCCCCAAGTGGCTGCAGTGGCAGAAAAGCCGCCGGTCCCCGAATGGCTGCAGCAGGCCGTGAGGAGAGACAGACAGATGGGCACGCCATGAGACCTCACCACAGGTCTCTGAAGGTGGCAGGTCCTGGGCAGGGACAGACAGGCCTGACATGCAGAATGGGGTTTGATGTTTATTTAGTGGGTTATGGAAGTATAGAAAGGAAGGGGGAGAAGGAGAAGAGGAGAGAGAGGAAGTGAGAGAGACAGAAAGAGAAGGGAGAGACTGAAGCTGCCTCTCCAAGAGGGAGACAGAAAAAGGAAGGAGACTCAGGCTGTAAGCAGGAAGATCTGCTTGCCTCAGCAGGCAAAGGTCTGGGCAAGGAGTGGGCATGGATTGTTTCTTAAAGAGACAGAACATATCATTACAGGAAGTTTTCCATTTTCTGTTGTTTTGTTTTATTAGTGTCTTAAGGTTCTTGTTGTGAAGGTCATTCACTTCCTTTGTTACATAGATTTGTTGTTTTAAGCTCTTCTGAATGAAATGAGGTTCTCCCCAATCCTACCAAGCCCTGATTTCTTTCTCTGTAAGTTAGTTACTTGTAATGGTGATTTTGTATATTGTTACTTTGTTAAAAGTATTTAGTATTTTTAGAGGTCTACTGCTAGACCTTTCATTTCTCTCTATCCCCACCATTCAGTTTAGCATTTGGTCTTTCTTGTAATCTTCTACATTAAGGATGTTCTGTCTATTCATAGTTTCTAGGTCTTTTACCATGAAGGAGTGTTGAACTTTGTTGAGGGCTTTTTCTCCGCCTAATGAGATGATAGTGTGGCTTCTGTTCTAGAGGGTTAGTCTCTAACCATGGTGGGGAGCATGACAGCAGGCGTGGCAGTGGAGCAGTTGCTGAGAGGTTACTTCTTTATCTCCAAGTAGGAGATAGAGCTAGCTAGGAGCTTGTATCTGGTAACACACAGTTTTCAACAAGGCCACACCTCTCAATCCTTTCTAAACAGTTTAATTAACTGAAACCAAGCATTCAAACATATAAACCTGTAGGGGACGTTTTCATTCAAACCACCACATTGTGTCTGTATCTGGTTTGGTATCAGGGTAATTTGGGGCTTCACAGAACAAATCTGATAATGTTCCTTACCTTACTATTTCATGGAACAGCTTAAGAAATATGTTGGTTAGTTTTTGTCAATACTAGCTACAGTCATTTGGAAAGAGAAACCTCAAGTGAGAATATATCTCTGTAAGAGTGACCTGTAATAAAGCTTTTGTGACATTTTCTTGATTAATAACTGATGTGGGAAGGCTCAATTCACTGTAGGCAGTACCACACCTGGGTAAACAGTGTTTGGTAATCTAAGAAGGCAGCCCGAGTAAGCCATGAAGAGCAAGCCAGTAGCAGAGTACCTCCATGGTTGCTGTTTCAGGTTCCTGGTTGATTCTTACCCTGCAGGCTGTATTGAAACTTTGTAACCTGTATTTGTTCTTCGCTCTCAGGCCCTCATGCTAGCTCAAAATTTTATTGTAATTTTTTTATTTTTCTTTCCCTCCTCTAACCCCCACCTCAAAAGGGCCTCACTGTGTAGTGCTGGCTGGCTGGGAGCTCAGAGAAATCCTCTCGCCTCTGCCTCTTCAGTGCTGGGATTAAAAGTGTCTGCCACCATTCCTGGAGGTAACTTAGTTCGTAAGGGTAGATTCTCAAGATGATGTCTGCTCGCTGCCCTCATAAGTCATACAGAGCAGCAGGGTGGCTTTTCTCCTCACTGCTGATTCTTCCACTTAGAGATCACTATCTCACTATAGCTTGTCACTCTGAGGATTGTGGAGGCTGTGGACTTGTCTTCAGGATAGGACTATCCATCCCTTGCTGACTTATCTTTAGAAGGCTTCTGCTTCCCCTCTCCTTGTAGAGGTCTCAGAGGCTGGACTTTTGCTTCCTGTCTTTTCCTTCACATTTCTCAAGTATTCTTTTACTACCTCCTTTGATGTATAATTTTTTTCTTCTGTTTCTTTCTTTGGAATAGTCTGTTTCTTATCTTATTCTAACTTCTTTCACACTACACCACACAGCAACGGCCTGCCATTTACCCAGAAGTCCTCAGTCTGCAGTCTCAGTGACAGCCTGTCGCTGAGAGTAGATTTGTGGAGTTGCAGTGCTATTAAGAAGTAACTGTTTTTTTGGGGGGCGAGGGGGAGTTCTTTCTAAACTTATAATGGTTTTAAGAGAACTTTATTTTATGCTTAGTTTGCTACAGAAGATGTTAGAATGGGCAGTCACAGAACACAGAGATGTAAAAAGTAGTCCTGTAACTGCTGAAAGTGCTTTCCGACTCATGCTGATCATACAGGACTTCCTGCAGTCAGAAGGACTGGTTAATTCAAACATGTGGACTGAGAAGGTTGGTAATGACCTTTTGAAATTGTATTTCAGGTCCTAAGGTAGTGGCTAAAGCTTGTGATTTTAACTTTTAAGAGGATGAGGCAGAAGGATTGTCAAAATTTGAGTTCAGTAGGAGCTACATAGACAGTTCCAGGTTAGCCTGGGCTACAGTGTGATATGCTATTGC